TGTTGAACATTTTTTTATATGCCTGTTGGCCATCTGCATTTCCTCTTTGGAGAAGTGTCTTTTTAGCTCTACTGCCCATTTTTTGATGGGGTTGTTTATGAAGTCCATCTTTTTAACTTAAAATGACAAAGCACTGCCACAAGAAAAATCAGTATATAGAAGTGGATAGTACAGGTCAATTTCTGTTCTATTGTGAAAGATGAAAGAAAAAACTAAATGTACCCCAAAATGACAGAAAGAACGTATTATGTTTTGTAAATTATTGGTGATTTATTTTTTCTTTGCTTTCATGTTTCCCAGATTTTATTTTTACATAGAAATAGTAACCTTTTAAGCAAAAGCCTACATTGAAAGAAACAGTGTGGCAACAGTATAGGGCTTATCCAGAGCCAAGATAGCAGATCCAGTGGCAAGAACAGGATTCTAGCAGTCATGCTGAAGGTCTCACTGTCCCTACAGCATCAGCGTTTCTCTCTCTCATAATCCATACCTGTCAATTCAACATCACTTTTCTACCCACGATGAATAAAAGAAATGATCTTTTATAAAATCAGAAAGACCAAAGTAGGACATTCCAAAAAGTACTCAGCACCATTTAGAATAGACATTTCTCCTTTTGTGGTGCTATCTTGACAGCACTCCTTTACAATTCATATTGTGAAGATGAAAAGGGAGAGGTGATCGGAGGAGAGGCAAATCAAGGAAAAACATTCACGTCAAAATTTGATCGAGACCTGCAGCTTCTCTCAGACTTTTGTCTAGTGAATAGATGCCAGAGGGTAAGAGAGGAATTATTTCCTTCCTTTTCTTTAATTTTCAATCCTTTGAAATCCAAAGGAAAAAAAAAGTGCATTCGTCTAGTATCACCTCTTTGAAAATACTTCTTGACTATTTTTCTAAAGATATAATTCTGAAAGGATTTTTTTCAGTTTCTCGTAGTTACTCATTATTTAATGTTCTGATTTCCTCCACCAGCCCCTTTTCCTTTTTTATGTTGCATTTTTCACATGGATTTTCTTTTGAGATTATGCAGCCTGTAACCTGACTACCCACACCAAGTTATTTCAATTACTCCCCAAGGTTTTTATTAGATATAGAAAAATCAGCTTTCTACAGTCTGCATATTTATGGCTGCACTTATTTTCCAGAACTAGCAAGAGAGAAAGAGGAGAAAGGGAAGAGTTGAATGGAATATTAAAATGTTTCTTAAAATGGTAGATAAGAATTAAAGAAACAGCTTCTATTTTCTTCTTGATGTGCTTTTACATATGAAATTCTAAAAATCTCTATATATTACTCTATGTTGAACCACTGCCAGTTTTTATAAAGCATTTTAAATTGTAAAGATGTGGGAGTCATCCTTTACTGGGGTACTCATTCCCCAGTGTGGGTCCTAAGAACAGCAGTGTCCTCATAAATCATTGCAGTCATGAAAGGAGATGGCTCTCAGGACTCAGCACATCCCAGTAGAACAACCATCACAACAATGAAGGGAGAAAGGTCAAAACACCATGATATTGGCTGGCTCCTTACTTCTCAGACATGAAAACTGGAGCCCAGAGAACAGAGTAGAGAGCTTCCCCTCATTCCTAAGACTTCCTTTTCTAGCAATATAAAATGTTGGTCCTCGCAATATAAAGTGTAGGTCCTTTGTGTGACTTGGACAAAACACTCAATTCCTTTGGCCTGTTTCTACATCTATAAATAGGGATCATGATTCAATGAGTCCAACTGCCAGGCAATTTAGGTTCTCTGTGTGGATTGCTTGAACAAGCCAGATCAGTGGACTGTCTTTGCTTCATCCTCCTGAGAGGAGAGGCCACACCCAAGTACCCAAAGATGATGGGTTTCAGAAAACAAACCCAGTCTTGTAAGACTACCTTTCTCCAACAAAGTCAATTCCTTAAACTGTGTTAGCTGACTTTGTGGACTTCATCATAAAACCTGAGGTGTAGTTAACATATCAATATGTATTCTAGGTTAAAAAAAATCAGTGATCTACTTCCAAAATAAAAAGAATTAATCTGCCTTAAAAAGCTAATGGACCTCAGCCCCTAAGACTCTGTAGCTACCCAGCCTAGTGAGGGGCACACTGACCAGTTATGGCTGCACGCAGCATCTCTTTCTTGGTTTCTGAAAGGGACTTAACTAGCCAGGAATTAGAATGCCTTTTTCATTGGCAACTTTCCTCATTTTGTCTTTGCAAGTTTAGCAAACCTTGCTGTAAGC